GTGTTTTTTCTTTTTTTTTTCTTTTTTTTTTCTAAGACAAAAAGCATGATTTAAATCTTGAAATGAGATGTGAACATTTGACAATTGCCAAGGGTGAGGACAAGGAGCAGAAAATATTTTGCCTTCACACAGAAGTGAAAAACAGTAGTGCTCTTAATCTTATAATGTAATACAGGGCTGCAAACGAATCGAGCAGTTCGCGAGCGCTTGAGTCAAAAAGCTCGGCTTGAGCTCGAGTTTGACCGAACCCGAATCGAGCTCGAGCGGCTCGAGAATGTTGTCGAGCCGATCTCGAGCATAGGTTTTGGAAGGTCGAGCGGCTCGAGAAATTTAATGAATTACTGAAATACTCCTTATATATAAATATTACAATGTTAGTACACGGTAATTCTACTTGAAATTCGAGTCGAACTCGAGCCGAGCTCAAGCAATTTGTTGATCATTTTGATTTCAATCTCGAGCCGAGCTCGAGCACGATAAAGAAAAAAAAAATCAATTTTGCTCGATAAAGTCAATACTCGACTCGACTCGCGTCGTTTGCAACCCTATTAATACCCTTCAAAATTTGTATTTTCCAGTACAAATAACCATCAAGATGGAACCGTTCTTTTTTTTTAATAATAAATGATCTCAATATATAAGCATCTGTCTTTTTGTTTTCTTCCATGTGTAACTAGCTGGAAGCAACTGAGAAATAACACAGCAAGGTCAAGGGTGCATAAATTCAAAGCAATCCAAAACAAATCAAAAGGGACCCCAATAAAACAAGTGAAGATCAGATAAAAAAAAGTTTGCTTTACTCAAAAACTCAAACACACACACAAACACACATTCGTTTAGATCCATCAAAATGGAAGCATCCCAAGTAAAGGTGTACGGCAATTGGGCTAGCGCCTATGTGTACAGAGTGACATGGGCACTCAAGATGAAGAACATAGAGTACGAGTACATAGAAGAGGACCTGTCCAATAAGAGCCCGTCCCTTTTGGAGTATAACCCGGTTCACAAGAAGGTGCCGGTCCTCGTCCACGGCGGGCGGCCGGTGGCCGAGTCGGACGTGATACTCGAGTACATTGAGGAGGCGTGGCCCGATCGTGGGCCCGCTTTACTTCCGGCGGATCCTTACGAGAGGGCCACCGCGCGATTTTGGATCGATTTTGGCCGACAAAAGGTATAATGAAACAACACTCTTTTCACTTTTTAATTTCATTCTGTTTCGATGAGTGTTCGTATATTGCTTTTGGGAGATGCTACGGTCCCGTTACGGAACCATTCCGTTGGGGTTTGTAACCGTTAGATCAACTATCCCCAACAGTTACATGATGATCTAACGGTTACAAATCTCGACGGAATGGTTCCGTAACGGGACTGTAGCATTTTCCAATACTAACAGTGATATATGTGTTGGCATTATAGGTGTCATTTCTGACCAAATGCCCACATAGTATGTGTGGTCAAACATTGTTACTCAATTCTATCACGAAATAATAACTGATGAAGTTCTGGATTAATTTAAGTACACAAATTACAGGATATGATATAATTACTAAGATAATTATTACTGAACTAAAGATGTACTAGTATTTAATACTATATTTTAGTAAATATACTACTAGTATTTAGTGTTATCAATTGTGGCATTTACAAATATATTAGGTGGCTATGCAAATAAGATAAAAAAAAAAAGAATAAAATCAACAAAATTAATCAGGACATAAATATAATTATGAAATCAAAGTACACCAACTTTATAGTGAAATGGTATGTAAGAAACGGGAGAAGAATGGGAATGGTATGTAAGAAACATGAGAAGAACGGGTGCAGGAGAAGAACGGGTGCGTCTCACGCACGTGAATTGCACAATAAGCAGGGAAAGTCGAGATGAAGCCCAAATGAACTTCTATCCGAAAATCAATTGGTGAAATAAAGAGTAGCCCATTAAACTTATAAATTAGGCTTATTTTCTCTATATAAACAATGTGGGACAATTCACAAGTGATATTCTAACAGTAAAAAACAAATTATGAATTCAGTGTTTACTAAATTAAAAACAAATTAAATTTATAGTTTAACTATACAGTAAAAAAACATGAAAAAAAGAATTATGAATTCAGTGTTTACTAAATTTATAATTTAACTATACAATGTTTATCATTGTTGGGATAGTCAATTGTTTTTTTTTTTT